CCCCCACCCCCCCACCCCCCAGTACAGGCCCCACCCACCTCCCTCTGTGCACCAGGGGGAAGGTAGGAGCTCAGGCCTCACTCACAGAAAGGAGGCAGGGTCTGGTCTGGAGTAGGGGACCCAGGGCCATGCGGGCACAACATCTGGAACCTCCATGTCCTCACCCCTCAAATGGGGAGACACCTTCACTGCCTTCTCCTGAGGCTTTCAGATCAGCTGACATAACACTGTTCCACCGAAGAATCATTTCACCTCTTAGCAAGTCACCCTGTCTCCATGGACAGCCCCTCTTAGGGCTTGTGTCTCCATCACGTCCTCCTTTCCTTCACCGACCTCTTCCATGTGACAGGCCACCTCAGGCAGTTGTTCTCCGCTGGCAGCTCCATGGTTGGCTGGCTCCACTCCCTGGGCCTTGCTCTCAGACTGGGCTAGAGGGACCACATCCCCTGGTGCGCTCTTCCACCAGAGTGGGAGGTGGAAGCTCCCGGGGCAGGGGGGCGAGCAGGATATGTGGTGCCCCGTGAGGCCCAGGCTGGGAATCTTCACGTGGTCGCTTCTGCCCACATTCTGTGGCCTCAGCAAGCCACAGGGCCAAGCCCAACCTCAGTGGAGGGGAGCAGGGAACACTCCTCCCACAGAGATGCAGGAAAGGGTGCTGGGACAGAGGAGGAAGCCCAGCACTTCAGACAGTTTCCAGAGTCCCATCGACAGAGAAATAGGGGCCGACAGCCAATGGCCACAGTGAGAAAAGCCAGCCACCATCTCGGATTGGGGGAGCCATTTCCACATCAACCCTGAGGGTCTGCAGCCTCCTCTGGTTAAATTAAACCTGTCACAGGTACAGGGAAGGAACAGCACAGGACAACGGGTTACTGGAGTCTGAGCCAGGTCGTGCTCTCTGATGTGGCTGAAATCAAAGTATGAAGAGAAAATCCTGTGAGCACCATGGCCGAACAAGTGGCTGCAAAGGAGCCCCTGCGGCAGCACAGGCCATGTAAGGCTTTGTGCGACAGTGACCCTGCTCTGCAGAGCTGCAGAGGAGGAGGTGGTGGCTAACTGGGCACAATGACATGTGGGCTGGCAGGGGGACTTCCATAGGTCAAGAGGGGAAAAGGGAAGGACACAGAGCTCTGGTTCCCAGACTGCAGAGGCACCCAGTGAACTCATGGGGCGCCACTGGCTTTTACTTTTTGGCGGCTGTCTGGTAAGGGGATCTGAACCCTTGACCTAGTGTCATCAATACTGTACTCCAACCCACTGAGTTAACCAGCCTGCCCAGGCCCTTTTAAATTTCTACTCAACATCTTTGCGCACTGTGCCTGAGGCAGTTCACAGTTTTGGTATCTCATCTTGCTTCACTCTGTCCCATGATGTCCTTGGGGCAGTTACTAAAAAAGCAATTACTGTGTCAAAGTCAGTGTGGGACAACCAGATGATGGTGGCGGAGTCCAGTCAGATTCCAAGTTTTAAGAACTGCCCAACAGGCACATCCCATGAGCAGGTAATGGCAGATACTCAAAAATGAAATAAAAAATTCTTTATGTGT